CCAGGTTCGAACCCTCCAGGTTTGGTGTAGGTGGCTGGCACTGTAACCATTTTGCTGCGGGCACCAAGCCAGAATATACAGCTTTCTATTTATCCTGTCACCTGTTGGGGTATTGATTTCTATCTCCAGGGTTTTGAGGCATCAGGTTCTCACCAGCAGAGGGGGCCGTTGGATTCCAGCCTCTCCCTCCTGTATGGAGAAAGGGCTACCTTGGGGAAGGTTTACTGGAACCTGGCCTGGCCTGGCCTTTAGGAGTCAACCTGGCTGTTGCTGAAGGGGTGTGTGTGTATGTTGTTTCAGTTTTTAAATAAATGTATAAATCCTTAGAACCACATTCAGAAAATGAGGAACATTGAGGGGGAGCATCATCTAGATAAATCCCACTTGCCTGTCCTATTTTAGGTTCAAGATTTAAAAACATTAGCATCTATTGGGGGAGATAGAAATGTTTATTACCTAATTGTAGGTAATTGTAGGTTTCAAAGTGTATACGGGTTCATGCCTATAATCCCAGCACTTGGGGGGGGGGGGCGAAGCAGGCAGATCGCTTGAGCTTACAAGTTTGAGACCAAAACAATGAGCTACAGTGAGACCCCCATCTCTAAAAATAGCCAGGAGTTGTGGTGGGTGCTTGTAGTCCTAGTTACTTGGGAGGCTGATGCAAGAGAATCATTTGAACCCAGGAGTCTGAGATTGCTGTGAGGTATGACCCCACAGCACTCTACTAGGGGTGACAAAGTGAGACTCTGTCTGTGTACAGATGCTAAAACTCATCAGATTGTACCCTTAAATATGTACACTTGAATTATACCTCAACCGAGCTGTAAAACATAAAAACAAAAATAACAGCTATTGGTTTTTCTAAATTATAAGATAGACATTTTCATTACAGAGAATTAAGAAAAGCATAATGATGAAGAGTATAAATGCCACCCACTGCTTGGAGATAGCCATGGAGCCCTTGGTGAACCCCTTCCACCTCCTGAATCTGGGGCAGCCTCAGGGCCATATAGCCCCCAGCCTCTACAGTGAAACTCTGGGGCCACCTATCTGATGCCAGATGCAGCCAGTGTCCTTCCATCTGAGAGCACAGCAGTGTCAGCTCAGGGCTCAGCCCTCCTCACTAAGTCCCCTCAGACTCCTGAATCCCTGTCACTTCCCTGGCTAGTCCCTTCTCTGTCTCTCTGCCTCTACTTCCCTCTTAGTCCAGTCTCTGCACTGTCTCTACCATCCTCCTGCAGGCAGGGAAGATCTCCTGCCCTGCGGCTATGAACAGCTATTTACTGGTGATACTTCAGTTTCTGTTTGTGGTCTGATCGCTCCTGAGTGTAGTAGACTCACCCTCTGTCCACCTGACCCCTCCTTGTGGATGAGCCATGGGTACCTGCAGCCTCACGTGGGCCACTCTTCCTTATCCAGGGCAGTCAGCAACCCACAGTCAGCCCTGTAGCTGGCCTGCCCTCATTTTCTACACTCTCCATTTGTAAGCCCCAAAGCTCTACTTCCAGAATGGTCCTGCAACTCAATCCTTTCTTTCAGGCACCGACCTTCTAGTCAACTCTGGGTCACCAACACCTGCTACCTGGACAGCTGCCACAGCCCCCAACTCTTCCCCTGCTTCTGTCTCTCATCTCCCCCCCACCCCCCACCCAGATCCCAGCAGGCACCCACTGCATCCCACACAGCCCCATCCAGCAGCCACCATGACTATTTAAAGTTAAATTCGTTTCTTCAGTTCCCTAGCCACATCTTAGGTGAAATCCCATGGGGCCGCTCATGGCTGCAGTGGTGGTTGTGCACATTACAGAACATGCCCATCATGCTGGAAAGTTCTATCTGATAGTGTAGTATTTGGCTTTTCCATGCATTAGGAATAAAACCCAATAAAACCCTTTCTTACAGGGCTACAGGGCCTTACCTCTGATCTCACTTCCTACCCCACACACTGTCCTTCAAACACTCCTACAACATTGATGTCTCCTTGTCCTTTTGTCTCCCTGTTTCTTTTCTTTTTTTGAGACAAGAGTCTTAAGCTGTCACCCTGAGTAGAGTGTTGTGGCATCGCAGCTCACAGCAACCTCAAACTCTTGGGCTTAAATGATTCTCTTGCCTCAGCCTTCTAAGTAGTTGAAGGGGACTTAGGGAATATAGGCACACACCACAAAATCCAGCTATTTTTCTTTTTCTTTTTGGTTCAGTTGTTGTTGTTTGGCAGGCCTGGGCTGTGTTCAAACCTGCCAGCTCCGGGGTATGTGCTGGTGCCCTATCCCCTGAGCTACAGGCACCAAGCCTGTCTCACAGTTTCTTCTTCTCAGAACCAGCTTAAGTGTCACTGCAGCCCCCCTTACCTGCACAGCACACACACCTCTGCTGTGGCCTGGCTCTGAATGCCTTATCAATTCCCTTCCCCTACTTGAGTCTCCCTCCCTGGGCTATATGCCCTCCAGACCACACACATGTCTGGCTTCTCATTCTACTACTGCCCTCGCACCTTGTAGCTCTTGGGGGACATGAAGGAACCAAACAAATAGGTCTGTGTCCTTGCAGAGTTTAGATAGAGCTGAGACAGACACCAAATGTAGGATTATAGAGTTCAATGTATGTCTGTGGACCTTGTGACTCTCCTCGCTCCTCTGGGAATGGGGTGGATGATAAGACAGCTTTGCAGGAATGGGCCAGAGGCTTAGGGTGGGAGCCCTTTCTGGGGAGTTCTCAGGATGAGTAACATCCTTAGGGCCAGAAGAGGATGCCCCAAGGTGGAGAAAGCCACTGTCTGGACATGTCCTTGCACCCAATGACCAGACATTTGTTAATGGTAAGAGAACAGAGCCTGTAAACTTAAACCAAACAACTTCAGAGTTTCAGAAGTGACTTTGCTTGTGTATAGTATAAAATATTTAAAGTGTGGCTGAGCTGGACTTTATGAACTAGAAAAAGTGACTTCTCATTGACAGATGAACCACCCCTCCAGAGTATTCCCCCTTCTTTTTTTTTTTTTGAGACAGAGCCTCAAGCTATCCCCCTGGTAGAGTGCTGTGGCATAGCTCACAGCAACCTCCAACTCCTGGGCTCAAGCGAGTCTCCTGCCTCCGCCTCCACCTCCCAAGTTGCTGGGACCACAGGTGCCCGCCACACCGCCTGGCTATTTTTTTTCGGTTGCAGCCATCATTGTTGTTTGGCGGGCCTGGGCTGGATTCAAACCCACCACCTTAGGTGTATGTGGCTGGCGCCTTAGCCACTTGAGCCACAGGCGCCGAGCCGTGTTCCCCCTTCTTTCCCAGGCATTTGGTGGTACTATGAGCCCTGCTGAGTCCCCATATACCCCTGGAAACTAAGGGGCCTGGTCAGCAAGGGAATAAACAGTTTGTGTTTTTAGGATTATTTCTGCTAATGGCCAGCAAATGGGGTTCTGGAGTTCTGGGTCTTTGCCTTGCCTGGACCACTCACTAGAGGACCTCAGCAGGTCACTGGGAGAAGGCAGCTAATACTGACCATGACCCTGTGAAGTCAGGATTTATTATACTCACTTTAAAGAACAGGCCACTGAGGATGAAAGCTCTGCTCAGAATCACACTGCTTTCTGCCTCACTGCCCCAAAGTCAGTCAGGGTACCACTTGCATCTCAGTATCCTCCTCTGCAAAATGAGCATTTTACGGCCTTGCCTGGCAGGGAAGAGGATTGCTTGCTCCAAGACAAAGTGGCAGCAGTGGGAAAGACCTGCAGAGGGCAGCAGTGAGCTGTGCAGAGGCCACCCTGCCTAGAAGCCAGACCTGGAGGCTTAGCAGCACTCACATTCTCCTAGGGTGCTAACATCAGCAGGCCGTCTTATGGGTCTGTGTTCTGTGTGTGCCCTTCCTGGCTGTTTTAAATATTGAGCTCACATTTTACAGAGGACAAAACTGAGGCTCACAAATTTGAAATTGGTGAACTGCATGGCTTTTGAATTATATCTCATTAAAGCTGCTATATTATAAAATAAAAACTGACCAGAGCAGTGGCTCATGCCTGTAATCCCAGAACTTCAGGAGGCTGAGACAGGAGGATCACTTGAGGCCAGGAGTTTGAGACCAGCCTGGACAATGTAGTGAGACCCCATCACAGGTCACAGACTGATTCCAAGCCTAGCCCTGGTATCTGTTCCTTTAGGCTGCATATCAAGGCATATGCTTTGGGTGGCAATGGAACTGAAAGTGGGAAATGAACCCTTTACATCCACAGGGACAACAAGCCTGGGAGGTGGATGGTCGTATTCTCATTTTAATGCCCAGGAAACCAAGGCAGAGAAAGAGAGGTAGTCAGGAGACTCAAGCCCAGTTCTTCTATTGCCAAGTCCTGTTTCCTTTCTTCCCCCTCATCAGCAGGTGGGTTTGGGTATTTTCGGTTTTTGCCATTTGGGCTCCCTACACAGTGCTCTCTGACATGTGTCTCAGATCTCTGGGTGTCCCTAAAGAATGACCAAATAGTTCACTACCTGTCACTGGGGGCCGTCCAGTCTCCCACTCTGTCCTGTGGGTCAGGGTGAAGGCTGGCGACTCCCTTAGAGGGAGACTAACCAGGGTAAGTTCTGAGTTGGGCAGTCCCTGGAAAAGCTACGCTGTTTTCTGAGCTTAGGAGAGGCCGGAGGATAAACGCACAGTTCAGGACGCAGGAAGGGTGGGTGTAGAGTGACCTGGGGAGAAATTCCTATTTGTTATCCAGCATATGTGTCTCTGCGACAATCCCTTGAGGCGGTTGTTGCTTCACCACGGATCCAATCCATATCACCAGAGGATCCGATCCATATCACCAGAGGTCTGTTGGACATGGAGGCCGCTGGCGTTGGTGACCCAGGCTGCTGGGTCCCGGCCCCTAGCGTGCCCACCTCTGACGCTAGTCAGTGGTCGGGCCCGTGGGGAAATGAGGAGTCAGGTGCTCCTGTTGCCAGGACCTCTAGGCTGGGAAGGTCTCTCTGAACCAGAGGAGCCGGTGTCCTTTATATGGTGGATTCCTGGGCTGCGAGATGGAGAGTCGGTGTCGCCGCCGTCGGGGCCTCAGTTTCCCCAAGCGCGCAGGGATGGAGAGAAGGCAGCAGGTCGGTCGGGAGCAGCCTGCCGGGCCCCTGCCCGGCTCCCGCAGCGCGGCCCCTTTAAGAGGCCCGCCGGCTCCTCCAGTCGCGCCGCGGCCACCGCCCCCCGGCCCACCCCTTCCTGCGGCGCGGAGTCCGGGCCGGGCGGCAGCGCAGCGAGAGCTGCCCCGCTGAGTGCAGCGCCGGGGCAGGCGGCGACCGCGGGGCTGGTGGGGCGGCGCGGGAGCGAGAGGAGCGGATCGCGGGCCGCGGCCGGGGGTTAGCGCTGCGGCACCGAGCTGAGGGCAGCACCGCCCCGCGCGGTGGAGACCGCACACAATAGCGGCGCGCGCAGCCCCGCGCCCTT